CTGGCGTGGACGAGGATGAGAACGAAAAGATCGTGCTGCTGGACGATTTGCTCGCTGCGTACGACGACGCCAAGAGGGCTGACTTGCGCCGCGCGGACGAGAGTCGAGAGGCCGCCAATCACGCAGAGATGATGGGAAGTCTTGTACGTGCAGAAGCCATGGGGTCACTCGGCCAGCGAAAGCGCAAAAAAGACGATGATGACGCAAGCTCAGGAGATGGTAAATTTACGAAAGTTATCGCGCTGATGCAAGAACAAGCCAAGGCTGATTTGGAATTTCAAAGAGAAAAATTAGAGAAAGAGCGTGACGAGCGTCGTATGGAGCTTCAAGAAAGGCGTATTGAGCGGCAAATGATGGCCGATCAGTTACGTCAGCAACAGGAATCAATTAACTTGTTAATGCGCATGATGATTGAAAGGTCGTGAGTGAATAATACATATTGTATTAAATGTCAATGATCTGTAGTGTGTCAAGGTAATCTCGCAGTGTCGGTGGTTGCAAGTTAAAATAGTCGCTGATTTGATACCCGCCAAAATAGCAACAATGGCAATTTGTCAACAACATTGCTACTGCAACCACTTTTGCAACAGGGGAGAGACGAATTTTGCCCAAACTTTTGAATGTTATGTAAGACCACAACGTTTTCAAAACTTTAAAGTTCCATTCCACAGACTGCCTCACACGACTTATCCACTTGTTGAACTCCATTTTCTCGGCAGACAAATTAATGCCTTTGAATCCAGAGATCAAAAATGGGAAAATACCATATGCAGGATCACCATACAAGACTCGTCCATCAAATACACTCGAATTTTGGTCGAAAAATTCAATCAAGCCACTCATGCGAAGCATCGTTGTGTCATGACGACGCCCTTTCATAGGGCCATAGAAATGCACACATATACCATCGGGGGCAGTGACGGCTTGGTAGTTGATGCAGTGAATCTCTTGTGGCCACTATATATTTGGCGTTGCAAGTTGTTGCCGTCACCGGTCGGAGCGATGGCAGGTTTGGATCTTCGTACCGTCGATGAAACCGAAGACGTTGGATAGCGGGGCACCATTGGCCGCCACCGCGGAGCAGTATCGAGCAATGATTTTGGACACCAATTTCTTGTTAAAGTAGAGCAGACTACCCCAACGTGAGTAAAGTTCGTTGACGACGTGCAAAAATATTTCGCACAGCGCGGATTGCGACCTACCAAAAACAGCAGACATGGTGTAGAACCGCAGCACAGGGAAGGCCAAACGACCCAGGACGATGCATATCGCCTCGTCGCGATGGACGCGATTGCGTGCTTCCGTGATTAAGACAGCGGGTAGGCCCAAAATGAAGCCGAGCTCGCGGATACCGGCAACGTCAAAACGATAGTCGAGTATGGCGTTGGCGTCAGACGTGGCGGCGAGTGAGAAGCGGATAGCAGGTATTAGGGGCCTTTCGATCGTGTATAATGCAAGCATTGTGATTAATGCTTTACGCTGGCGTGGTGTCTTTACCAGTGGAACCAAAGTCAACATATCCCCTTGAGTTAACGGCATGACAGCGCGTGATTTGGCTCCAATGTCAAAATGCATGAGTCCGAATATCAACTTACCGGAAAATTGTAATGACATGGATGGTGGTAAATTGCAAAACACAGAATCATATGACCCTGCCCGTACCCTGTCAACTGGTTTTGTCACGAATCTGGTGATGATAATGGTAATGTAAAGATAAGTTGCAAAACCTTTCTAATAACATCAAACCCCAACCTTCTCTCGAGGCCGACAACCGTCCTGTCTATAGGACGACTTCACCATGGAAGCACAAAGTTAAACGCGACAGGGTCGTGCCAAATGGAACCATTACGTGGTTGAGCAACGACTGTCGATCGGAAGTGGAAACAACACAATTGCTGGTAACGTGTGAATAGCCTTCGTGAGCCTTCGAGCGCAGTGAAAGATTGATGGCAACTTGAATGCATACTATTCCGAGGGTGTCGAAGTAGTTTCTCGTCTCAATGGGACGGCATCGATCTTATCACCGTGGCATTGACGATGCTGCCACGACACAGCAAACAAAAGTCTGTCTTCGCGTGTGCCTGGCATGCCCTGGTCTAGGCTGAAACCTCTGGCTTGGTTGTCAAGCTGTCTCAGCTTCGTCGTCGATTGTTCGAGTTTGTTGGAAGGATCCAGTGAGATTCACGGCAAGGTGCTACGTGCAGCGCACGAAGCGAGTACACTATCAAGGCAAGTCAACCGGGAGGAAACGGGGAGTATCGACAAGCTATTGCTCATGATCCGGTCAAGACGCTGGCAAAGGGACCCGAATTCACGAGCCAGCATTGCGCTTCCGTGTCGGAGTTGCCTTTGCGGCGCCAAGGAAACCCACTCCACGAACCAATGCCGTCGATGCCACACTCGTGACAACCAAGCGGATGTGGCCATCATTGCCAGATCCGGCCAGCGACACCACGTCGTTCTTGACGTCTCAAGCTTGAAACGCATCGGTCTTTGCAACTGCTGGCAGTTCTCGTCTAGAAATACGCATCGGCCGGTTGGAGTACAAACCGACCACGCCAAGACAATACCCAAACGACTCGGATGGAGGAAGCCTCGACATCGCCGCCAGACCGGCATGCTGATCATGCAAGCTAGAGCACTCCATCGAGGCGCCAGATGACCGTGCGTTGCATCGTAGGAAGCGGAACGAGCCGAACCCAACGCAGGCGATGCGTCCCTTGGCGATGGTTCCACTTCACCACGTTCTGGCGGTCCCACGAACGACGAAGACACTGCAGGAACAGCAGCAGATCGTACGAAGTCCAGTGCGCGCTTGAAAAAGTCGATTCTGCTTCAGCCCATGCAGCGTCTCA